GCGGTGCCGAAGGGATAATTGCTTGAGGTCGGTCACACACGACCTTTTTATGAGTAGTTTTTGTCAGCTCTATACTTGTTGAGACCTTACCGCCGGAGACGGATATCCGTGGGATAAGGCGAGGTGTGCATTTTTAGGGTCGACCTTTTCCACCCCCACCTCTCCTTGTGGGAAGGTAGCATCACTGTCATGCTGGTTGTCTGAAGGAAACACCTTACTGTTGTCACACCTCTGTACAGTCAGCAGTACGAATTCGCCTTCGGACCTTATGTTTGTTGCTTTTAGTTTACCGCTCTTCAGTCGACCTGTTTGGCATGGTAGGACCTTGAAGAACGGTTGTTCCAGCCAGTATAGCTCGGTTTGTCTCACAACGACAGAAAAGCCCGACCACCACGTCAACGTAGCAACAACGATCGGGATTTGATTATACAGGACAGATCATCCATCAAGCCTCGTTTGTATGGCACTAGGTTAAGAAATATGGCGACTAGAATACTGCTCTGTCCATGTGGGCTTTCTGCAGTTTGTAATAGCCTCGTTCAGTATACCTTTGGGAATTTCGCTGAACTCTTGCCGATTTTTAAGTCATGTAAACTACTTTCGGCCTGTTTGTATCATGTTTAGTCTCATTAATGGACACTATATTAGTCTGTCGCGGTGATTGTATATTTGCGTATTTCCTGCCTTTTTCGGATGGCTTCTTGTTCCGCTGGTTGTTAGAATTATACATTTAAAATGTATATAGTGGTACTTTTGGTGAATAATAATCCACAGGTCGGGTGCTGTTTTTTTCATATTCCACAGCGCAGTAGGGGGTAAGGTACCGAGAAAATCGCATTTACTGTTAATTCATATGCCTTCAGTCCAAATCCGTTCATATAATCATAATAATCCTCTCACTTATCAATATTCAGTGCCCTCATATTGTCTCTCCTCTGTGTTTTATCAGCCTTTTCACATTTGCTGATTACCGGTACGATCAAATATAACTTCACATGCATTGATAAGTCAGTCAGTCAGTAACAACGTAGAACTTCGTACGTACGTACATCAGTTCGAGTTGCCACACCACATTAGCACAGAGATACAGTTGTCGATTCAAATCCCGTAGTGGTAGAAGTAATAAGAGTATAAGCAGTAATCGGGAAGATTAGGGTTTGGAGATGTTATTTAAAGAGTATAATCCAGCGAAATAAATTTGGGGAGAGAAAAAAAGAGACAAGGAGGAATCAGAAGATTAGAATTTGGGAGAACACAGAGTGGATGCACCTGCGCCATTGCAAACGATTTTGAGCCATGTCATTCAGGGTCTCTAACCATCGGTTGCTATCATCTCGCGGTCCCCAACCAAGTAGTCTACACCTACCGACATGACTCAGACCACTTGTCAGTGACTTCATGGACTTGTGCCATGTTTTGGTCTGGCCGCTCCTAGCTTTCTTCCAACCTACTCCTACACCACTGAACATCGCACGTCGAGGCAGTCGATAGTTGGGCATACGTAACACGTGTCCCAGCCATCTCAACTGATGAGGTTTCACTACTTCATCAATTGATTTGCCATCCTTACCTAGTACCCGTTTCCTAACAACTGTGTTACTTACTCGATGGTCCCATGATATACGAGCAATGTTTCGAAGACACCTATGATCAAATACTAGTAGCCTACGGATATCCTCTACTCTTGCCGGCCATGTTTCACTGCCATAAAGTAGGACGGAACGAACTGCTGCGCAGTAAACACGTCCTTTGGTTGATAGACGGATATCTCGCCTACGCCACAAATGACGCAAGTTGACAAAAGCTAGTCGAGCCTTCTGTATCCGTGCTGAGATTTCGTCACACACCAAACCACAAGGGCTGATGAGACTTCCAAGATAAGTGAAGCGGTCGACACACTCAACTACTTCACTCCCTATCACTAGTTCGGGTGTCGATGTAACCCAATCCTGAAGCAACATTTTGCATTTCGAGGGAGAGAATCGCATCCCGAACATGCTTGCATTGTTGCTTAGAGTGGTCAGAAGACTGCACTTTGTCAGCGTCTTCACCAAATAAAACTATGTCATCTGCATATTCTAAGTCAACAAGTGAACCTCCTGGTAGAAGTTCAACCCCTGTAAATTTAGATGAGGAGAGTGTTATCTCTAAAAGTACGTCGACCACAAAGTTGAACAAGAATGGGGAGAGTGGACAGCCCTGACGAACACCACTTGAGGTGATCAATTCTGACATAGTGTGAATATCTGATCTATACAACCACGTCTAGATCGAAAACCAGCCTGGTTTTCTCTAGTCTGCTCTTCACGAGCTTTAGTTAGGCGTCGAAGTATTATTGAGGCTAATATTTTAGACACTATATTAGTCAAACTGATTCCTCTGTGATTGTCACAAGAGGACTTTTGTCCTTTCTTAAAAACTGGCACAATCAGTGATTGAGACCAGTCAGATGGGATTACGTCCAGTTCCCAAATTCTACCTAAGACCTCGGTTAATCTCATTGCTAATACTGGACCACCATCCTTAAAAATCTCAGGAGTAAACCTGTCAGGGCCTGCTGCTCTCCCTCGCTTCAGATTTCCTATGGCTTTTTCAACTTCGTAAAGGGACGTAGGACCTACATTAACATCGCATCCCGAACATGCTTGCATTGTTGCTTAGAGTGGTCAGAAGACTCTGCATTTTGTCAGCGTCTTCACCAAATAAAACTATGTCATCTGCATATTCTAAGTCAACAAGTGAACCTCCCGGTAAAAGTTCAACCCCTGTAAATTTAGATGAGGAGAGTGTTATCTCTAAAAGTACGTCGACCACAAAGTTGAACAAGAATGGGGAGAGTGGACAGCCCTGACGAACACCACTTGAAGTAATCAATCCTGATGACAGTTCGCCATTAATACGGATTATGTATGGTCTGTTAACTTCTTATGAACGTTTATTTCATCCTAAACTATTGGAATCCTTCTACGGAGTCAGAAATAGCAGTTCGAAATTTACTTGGACGAAATTGAATTTACCCGGTCAATCAGTCCTAACCAACACAATAAACAAGCATCGACTTAAGTTGCCAAATCACACCAGCATACCGAGATGGGTTGTAAAGTTTCCAAAGTTATAGTAGTACCAATGGTATTAGAAGTATGGTCCGAAAAGAATGGATAAAACAAAAAAATGAAATGACAGAGACAAAGCCTAAGGTAAGATAGAGTGAAAGCTTCTGTAACCAATTTTAACCACGTCACTCAAAGTTTCCAGCCACTGGTCTCGATGAACCCGGTAAGGTAAGAATGACTTGGGGTGGCATAATGATTTTGTAGATTGATCCTGTTCTTGTTTTGTTGCTCCTGTCTTTCAACCTTCTCTTATCCCAGACATTGTGGGTTGCGTTAGACGGTGGTTGAGGGTACGTGATATCAATAATTAGAAATCTGGAGACTCATCAACCAGCTAATATAAGTTATATACATAAATTAACAGTAATACTCCTGAACAAGTGAATTCATCTGATCACATTACGTCACTAAAATATTTATTTAGAATTACGTATAACATTAAACCAAAATGGTATAAATTGGTCAGTTATGCAAAGCAAAGCTCTCGTGACTAGCTTGTTCAAGTTTCAGTAATCGAAGGCGTCAATTCACCTGCGTTCGCAGCCGAACATACCATTTCTTGTTATTTTTCGAACTTTCCTACACTTATAATTCTCCGTAATACACCGGTTTTATATATTCACTACATCAACGAGGGATAAAGTTTTTTGAAGGAAACGACCTACTGATTAGTCAATTGGCCTATCGGGTTACAGAGCATCGTAAGGACGAAATGTTATTATCAACAAAACACTGGTTGATGGGTCACACAAGTGGATTTATTTTAAAAAAGGCTATTAACACAGAGAAACTGATGAACTTCGCTATATTAAGTTCCACTGTGAATATTATTATTCATATCATTACATAAAATGACTTTTGCCAAATACTACTTACATAAATGTCAGTTTATGTTAACAAAAACAGAAAATTTAAGTACTTGGGCCAACTTTTCAAATAATATCATCTTCGACTGAAAAGAGTACACTAAACAACTGTTATAATCAAGTATATACACGCTTTTTTCAGACAACATTCAAATGTAATGCCTAATGATGAAAGTCGAATCTTACGTAACACTAGAATCTCGAGATTTAGTTCCATAAATTAAAGATGATTTACTTCAAATGTACAACAACCTAGCCTTGACAAACTAATAATCGGAATAGTATCTATCTTGAATTGTATATATCAAAATGGGTCTTTAAAGACATTTTGTGCCCGTTGATCTGACTCCATTTTAGATTGTATGGATGTTTGCTATCGCTGATTCTCGTATATCATAGTCGACTTAAATCACGTTAGTCAATAACGTAATTTAGATAAGTCAATTAACGAGAACGGCTTTTGAATACATATATTTTGTATGTAAAGTGAATGTAATAGAACAGAGCAAAATGACGCGCAGGGAAGATGGCTGGGAAGCCAACTCCAATTCAAGCCGGGCATTACTCAATATTTATAGGCAGACAAAATAACTACAGACATGTGATGAGTCATGGGACATGAAGTGTACACACATATACGCTCATATGAAAACAGTCAAGGCTAATAAGCGAATAATTAACAAGGTCAAAACATGACTCAAGTAGAACGAATAGAATGGAATGTCCGGAAACTAGAATAAGATATATTATGGGCTAGAACTAATGACTAACACTACAGACAGACAAAAGTGAACAAGCGCTGATTGTTTTAAAATATTCATCCTAGATTATTTATTTAAATAACAATTAATTCATACTATATTAGATATTTTGAATATAAACAGTTTTTATAACACCCTTCTCCTGTGAAAAACATCTATTCAGTAATCCTATACATTTCGATAATCTTACCGATCAATCGAGCTGTTATAGCATCAAATAAACTAATTATAGTTTCAATAAAGTATTGTCTAAGGTTACATTTCACTATCAAAGACGTGATAACTCACTTTTTTGGTTAGAACTAATAAATTTTGTTAAACAATGTAACAAAATAAACTAATCAAAGAGTATTCACCTAATTATTAGCGATCACAGTGTAAATTGACCTGAAGAGTACAAAATAAAAAGAGAAGAACAATGAGGAATGGGAAGGATAATTCCAATTTCAAGTATGAAATCAGTATTTATATTTACCTAACTACAGGCTTATCATAGTGAATATTTACAATAACAAATGTAATTAGTAAGTCTTTTTTATAGAAAAGTTCAGTGCATAAGTCTTTTGAAAAGTATTAAGAAAATTGGATTAAACAAGAAATGTTTATATTTGATCGTATAATCACAGATAAATTTTATTAAGGAAAATTCCACTTTCCACAACGTAAATCTTCTTTGACTTTGTGTTGAACAAGTTGCATGCAGGCAACAGCATCCTCCATACTGTTGTGACCATTCTCTTCATTAAAAGTAACGAAAATAAATTATTTACATTAATACCATAAAATATGTACCTGCAATTGTCAAATAAATAAAAATCAGGATACCTCACTTTGTAAATACAATACACCATATACTTGAATCATGATTTCATTCGAAACTTTATCGCTATTATTATATCCGAATGGATTTAGGAAGGGTTATTCTTCGGGAATTCATGACGTGCGTTTCGCCGTATCTGGGACTTGCCAGCTGGAAGTACTTGTATCCTAAGGTTGATGTTTATCACAGGATTCGACCGTTTGTTTCAAGCGGCATCGCTCTACCCAATTAGCTAGTGACTACCATCAACTTGTGTGACCGGTTTGAAATTTAATTTAATCTGAAATGGCCTATGTTATTCTATTGTTGGTATTTTGACTGAAATTTTGTTCAGTCTTGGCGTATAGGCATCCTGTGCGGATTGGCCTCAACAGTCATTATGACATAGGGTGATATAGAACAGATAGATGCCAACCGAGACTGACCGAATTTCATTCAAAATATCAACAATCGGATATTCCAATTCATTTCAAATATAATTTGATCCTACGGGGAGTACTTTTATTATTTTAATTTATAGTTATTAAATTTTCTTTCAGTTATCGTATTTTTATATTCCCCATATTGTATGACTTCGGTTGATGCATAAACTATTGTTAAATGTCTTACTTTCCTACGGTAAATACAAATGGTAGCAATAAATAAAATGTATGAACTGGTAATTCACAGGTCTGTTCAATACACACTTTAGTGGTCATAAATGGACCAGCACTTAAGTAAGATAGAGTACGGTGATAGTAGTGTATGGTACCATATTGTAATTTTAATTCAGAGATCAATAATATATACAGCAATGATTATTATACACAAACATCACACTTCCCTAAGTTAGTATTCATTATTTACAAACCCATAACTTAATTTTCCTTCACTTATGGCATAGTCACTCACACATTATAATTGCTGTGTCCAGGTGTATGATGTATAATATCATGGGTTTTGAGTCATAATGAATAAGTGTATAACAAAAGTTATATTTGCTTTCTAAGTTCGAACTAGAGGAAAGCTGCATCAAAGATCAATCGGAATAAAAATTTATAACGGGTGTTGCATAAAAATAATTAATTGTTGTCGGCCCAAATGTGTCAATGGTCACAGTAAACCTCAGTAGTTTAATGATAGTGAAGTGTATTCATACCAAAGGACGGTATCTAGTGTTTATTTTAAAGAAAATGAAAAAAGACTCATCGTTATAATAAACATATTAACGTAAAGCAGATTAAGAACGAGCCAAAATTAGTAAGATTTATGTCATCCGTTGCATTTTTAACAAATACATAAACCAATAAACCTACTTACCATCTTGTTGTATAATTTGTTGAAGTATTTCACTAACTAAATTCCTTAAAGCTCGTTTCTTTGGTAAACCTAAACGATGCGGAAATACAATAGAAGTATCGACAATTTTCTTATGTATCAATTTAAGGGCAGTTAAATCACTTTCTAAACTATGACCAATTAATATTGTATCCGAATCGAATAAATGCAATAATTTTGCTTGAATATCAGTAATATGATATTTTGCCTGTTCTATATCTTCTAATTTTAAACCAGAAAAACGTGAATTACAATCAATAATTGGATTGTCTGGACAAACAAATTCATCGAGAATAACTTGAAGTTTTGGATTGATAATAGTAATTCTAGCTAGTTCACAACCACCAGTTGTATAAACCATTTCACAATCAAGAGCGTACACATTACAACTTGAATTATTGTCATTATCTTCATCATATTCTTGTGATTTTGGAAGTGGTGGCAATGTAATAACAAAACCTTCATTATCTAACCATTTATTAGCATCGTGAACATGACCTTTAGGACAGATTTGACAGCCTGGTTGACCAATATCACCATTACAACATAAATATCGTAAATCAAATCCTTGACCAAAACCTGTAAGGAGAACAAAAACAGTGAAGTCATATACACACAAAATATGAACATATATGAGAAGTGAAGTAAGGTAAAGTGATTCTATTTACCTAGTAAAAGCTTGTGCACTGGGACTTTGAGTCATAATTATCTATGATAACAAATATCATACTCCATTTGGCTGTCTAGACTATAAGTAGGCATGGAAGGATTAAAACTTGAAATTCAGTGGTTGAACATCAATAATTTTAGCCAATAAAACGCCATCTCATTAGAAGTGAAGTGAGATATATTAGATCCATGGTGACAATCATAAATCTTAATAAAATGTATATTTAATACCACAAATTTTGAAAAGATGACATGAAGTCGTGATAGTATTTTGATTTAAAGTAAAATATGTATATATTAGTTAAATACATAGAACTTACTAAAAGATACTGTAAATATTTAGAAAAATAAATAAATCATAATTATTGAATGAAAAACAAAAGTATGAAAATTACTTTTAAGATGAATAGATTTTCAAATGGTTTTCTAAAAGATCTACATTAACAAACAACATTGAAACGTTATATTTATTAGTTTAGTCCTGTGGTAATACTACCTAATACCTAGCTCCACAAGAGCAGGTAAATTGGTAAATGCACATTGAGTTGGTCAGATGCGATAATTTATCTTTCAGATTATTGGTGAACAGTGATCGGCTGGAGAATAATATATAGGTCGTTCGATGCGTATTTTATCCAAAAGAATTCAAGAAAATTGTCCGGCGTGGCTAAAAAGAGGAGGTAACGGTTCAATAAGAAGTTCTATAATCGAACACCTTGTGAACACAGGTCACTCAATCCAGACAGACTCTGCGTTCAAAGTCATCTACAAGGTAAGTAGAAGCCTTCCTAAGACAATTAGACTGCATCTTCTTTGCATTGCCGAGGCAATAGCCATACATTTTGAAAAACCAGAATTATGTGTACAAAAGAGACTGGTACAACCTCTTCTTTTACCATGGTCTTAATGTATTTTTTTTCTCTTTCTTCATACTCTTGTTCCTTTACAACCACCTGCTTCACCTTCCATCTTCCCTTCAAATCTTCTACCCCCAACCGGTTTGTTTTTATTTCCACGATCATTCCGATTACATTTCATCTCCGTTTCAACATTTTGTGTTATTTTATCATGCTGAGCCATCCTTACCCGATGAATACTTAAGCCATTAACTATCAAACTTTCCTTGTTTTAAAAAATTTTTTAATACCTTTGTTTATTTAACCTCACTGTCACCATGTATAACAGAAGTTTATTATCGGTATTATTATCACCCTGTAAAAATAAGTATATATATTTGAGATTGTACAGCTTTGAAAATGAATTCGCCGAAAAGAGAACTCTTCGCTGAACTAATCTTTCTTTCTTATTTAATGTCATAATGGGTGTATTCCGTTTATTTATAAGCAACATTGAAACGTTATATTTATTAGTTTAATCCTATGATAATACTACCTAATGTTTCAACTTTGAATAACATTATCATTGTCATTTTGAAATATTAAGTTTGTTTATTACTAATAAAATTATGTATTTAATAAGTGAAAATATATAATATCATAGAGAGGAAATACAATAACATTCAATTAAAAGCAACAAAAAATATCCACATTATTATGTATTAAACTCATAGGGGCAATTAGAAATAGGAAAAAATGAATGAATGAATGAATGAATGAATGAACAAAACTCTGTAGAAAGAGGAAATCTGAAGTCACAGCATTATCCAATCTATTGACCTAACACCAATGGATGTAGGGTCATATAAAATTGAATTGGTGAACAATGTGAGAGTGATCAAATCATAAAATTAACCTATTATAAAAATCAACTGTATAGAAATATATGAGAGCATATTATCAAATCATTTTTATGAAGGTATGCGGCTAAGGTTAAAACTACTACAATTAACAGGAAAGATCAAGTTCCCAGGTTCAATTAAAGGTAACTACTACAGTATACAGTTAATCGAAGAAAAACTATCAGAAGTAGTCAAAAAATAAATGCACAAATTGTGCTGGTAATCATTAAACAGCTGAATAAATGTAAGATATTTTTCAATCAATTGTAATTGATGTGTTGAAATAACTAAAAACGACTAGATGTCGCTAATTACTTGGCCGAAATTGATATTTCATAAAAAATACATATTTTTTTTAATCATAAACTCTCATTTGACCTATTGGTTTCTATTATACGATTCGCTATTCTTAATGTATTCGTAATCTATTAGTTACAGTGTCTCACATTGACAGTCACTTTCCGCTTGATCTAGTACAACTGTGATGTGGTCTGGTCTGCCTGTATAGAAACTACATATGTCTGAAATATGTTATTCATGCAATGGGGTTTTTAAAAATAAAAATCAGTAGATAATCTTGGAATTAGTGATTTTTAGAAAGAAAGTCGAATCAAATAGATAAATATTAAAATAAAGATAATGAGTGTTAAGTCGAATGGGTTATTAGTATGTACTAGTTCCAACCAACCGATTAAATCGCAAGCATAATTGTACTATATAGGGGGAAATACCGACTCACATTCTTAACCAATTGATTTTAAACAAACCCCTGAAGATTCATTTATTTTAACAAAACCATATAGTAGAGACATGAAGACAATCTCATTAGTTTTAGACGAATTTGACAAACAGAAAATGTTAGTAGTCATATACCCATCAAAATAACCACATATAGAAGTGTTATATTTGTATCTTGATTATACAAGTTTGAAAAACAAATGTTCGCAGATAACAACATTGTTCCACAGATCTGGGATTCTTAGAATTTCTACGGAAAAAGTGAAATCTTTTACTGATATTGATTAACGTAACGATTCAAGCTTAGATAGTAAGTTAGATTCAAGTTGCGGATTATTATTTACCTAGACAAGATTATCAACCACGCATTTATGTCGAGATCAGTCTATCTAAGTATAAATACATACACCATTTACAAGTACTTTGTTCAGTATCTAGCTTCCTAAGAAGTGTTATCTTGTTCGCTATAAATCTGTTAACAATCAAATTTTAAAAAGAGTGATCGACTTTGATCGTTTTCAATACACAGGCAGCTAAAGAAGGCAGGATTGGTAACACAATGTAACTCGACAAAACATATCTTGGGTATCCCTCGCTTTTTTTCCTAACTTCATACATATCTACAGAAAATCTGCCTCGAACAACGCTTTTCAGTAGCAATGTCAGTATGATAACTTAGTCCTTAGAAATGACAAGCTTACCAACTACAACCGAACTATAGGTGTTAGTTTAGGTGGAGGGGTTTGGTTTGTTAAAAATGTAGTATTTGAAAGAGATTTGTATGTCTTGTATGAAGTAAGGTTTTAATTTCCGTAACTGGTTTCGATATTTTACTGTTTTAAAAAGTGTTAGGGGGCCTCATGCACTTTTTTAGAACCTCTTTCATAATTGGAAAAGAAACTAGAATCAGTAGTTGTTAAATTGACACTTACGCTCAAAACTTGTTCATAGATGTCAAATATTTATATTAAGGATAATAATGATAAAAAATGAATAACTTTAACAGTTTCACAAAAATCAGTTTGCATCTTGAGTTATTGTTTAAATTATTTTATGCGACGCTATTAATCAAATAATCATTAGGTAGTCAATCACACGATACGTATCAAATTATTACAGGTAGACGAAAGAAAATGGAACCAAGCTATGAAAAGAAATACACTTAATTATAGAATATACATATGTAATTAAACATTTCGATGGTAAATAATCTATATGTTCCCGCAGAAAGCAAAGAATAAGGATTTAAAGAGACTAAATATAACATTTTTTAACTGAGAGAACTAAACTATGAGTCTAATTTGGCTAAATAGTAAAATGATGCTATACGTATATAGTATACCACAGTCAAATGAAAACAATAAGTAACAGATCTATCTAGGTGTGGTTTATGAGAATTTACCAAAAAACTCATTTAGAACCTTTAAGATACTCATATTTTCTCCGCCATTTGAGGCCTCAATGATTAAGTGGGAAAGGAGAGAGAACAACGCACTGACATCATTGATTCGAAAACTGAACAGACATGAGACCACATTTCCAGGAATTACTAATATTGCAACACTAGTAGGTATTATTGTTAAATGACAAACATGAGTACATATATTTTTGATAATCACATTGTGAAATGTTCAATTAGCATTTGTGCATCCAATATAAATATTTAGTGACTGATAATATGGTTAGATTATGAAATATGAAACACGATATAAAAAGAACAGTGAACTAATCAAAGGATTCTTGATTCTATCTATTTCTCAAACTTAAAATTGGATGTACAGTAATACAAGTAGAATGAAGAATTTTAATTGAAAGAGGAAATTGCCAAAACTTCCAGACTATTTTATTAGTCACATACATTTACCACTTGTTAATTTGAAGAGTTATCTCAAAACAGATCACACAATGTAATTATGGATCTTGATATTTCAATTTCCCAATGACTAATTTAAATATATAATATAACAAACAGAAATCATGCTTATAGTTTAGTTACCGAAGTAAACTATTAAGATAATAATTGTTTATGAATCGTAATTTCTAATTGCTTTAAAATGCAGTTCGATATAATACACAAACTTCAGCAAACAAGTAGAGAATTTGGCAATACGGCTGAGTTATACTACCAATGATAGTCAGTCAGTCAGTAACAATGTAGAACTTCGTACGTACGTACATCAGTTCGAGTTGCCATACCACATTAGCACAAAGATGCAGTTGCCGATTCAAATCCCGTAATGGAAGAGGTAGTAAGAGTATAAGCAGTAATCGGAAAGATTAGGGTTTGGAGATGTTATTTAAAGAGTATAATCCAGTGAAATAAATTTGGGGAGAGAAAAAAAAGAGACAAGGAGGAATCAGAAGATTAGAATTTGGGAGAACACAACGAGCAGATGCGCCCGCGCCATTGCAGACAATTTTGAGCCATGTCATTCAGGGTCTCTAACCATCGGTTGCGATCATCTTGCGGTCCCCAACCAAGTAGTCTACACCTACCAACATGACTCAGTCCATTCGTCATTGACTTCATGGACTTGTGCCATGTTTTGGTCTGGCCGCTCCTAGCTTTCTTCCAACCTACTCCTATACCACTGAACATAGCACGTCGAGGCAGTCGGTCGTTGGGCATACGTAACACGTGTCCCAGCCATCTCAACTGATGAAGTTTCACTACTTCATCAATTGATTTGCCATCCTTACCTAGTACCCGTTTCCTAACAACCGCGTTACTTACTCGATGGTCCCAAGGATAACATAATTCAAAAATACGTAACTACTACACACAGAATTAGGATATATTTATTGAATTAGTGACAAATAAACACCACTTATTAGTTTAATCCAAAGAAAATAGAGTTGAAGTGATTCCCCCAATACTCGGAAATTTAATAACAATGGATAAGTAATACCAGATTATAACATGAAACCGAACTCCAAACTAAACAATTAGAAACTGATATATATATAACCTTAGCTACTTACTTCGTTGTTTCACAGCTTTACCCCAATGGTAAATGCATTCGCCCTGAGTTAAAGAGTATCCATATTCATCAACAAGAAATCGTGTACCACAACGACAACATACTCGTTCGTTAGCTATCGAATAAAAGCGAAAATGTTTTATGATCATTTAAAACTACTGAAAATTGATAGAAAAAAATTTGTTCAAAAAACATACCTTTCATAAAATTTAGCAAAAATACATTTTATATAGTATAATCCAAATTGTATGGAGATCATCTTTAAAAGATTTTGAATACGCAAGCAATTTTTTAATATTTAAAACTAATTTTTAAAGGCGAATTCGTTAATTATTTAAAGCCTTATTCGAAACAAGTTGACTGATAAGCAAGATTGTAATATGGGAGGTTAAATGATACAATAAGTGTTGGTACATGATTCAGTGTATAATAATTTAAACAACTAATACATTCATTTGAACCCATCGTTTGGTGAACTTCGCTTTGTTCATTTATTCATTTCACCATCAAATCAATGCGTCCGTGTTTTATGAGTACCGCGAAAATTGTTGCTATTCAATGAAACATTGAATAATTCCGTAAATATATCAGATACAAACACAAACTAGTTCGAATTCTTGAATGAATATAACTAGTAACAGATATACAGTAAGGGGTTGTGGAGATTGTTGAATTTCATTGAAACCACAAACCGATCTAAACTACATCACCATTGAAAACCTGGAAGCAGTGCAAGGTCATTTCGTCCTAGTATGGGATTCTACAGAAGTGAGCACCCATGATCCAACACGCGGAATTCGAGCCCAGGACCTTCGGTCTCGCGCGCGAACGCTTAACTTCTGGCCCAAGTTCAAATCTCTAAGACAGCATTAATTCGCCTAACATTTGAGATACAACATGTTAATGATAACTAACTACTACAAAAAACCTAAATTAAACTTTGTATTGACCTTATCTGATCATCTAACATCAAGACAAACTGTACCGGAATTATTAGGTCATTTAACCTGATTCCCATAGTGTAAACAAAGACGATAGAATCTAATCATCACTACAGATTTGAAAAGATACTGACTAGTTACACTGACTAACTAATATACCGACGATCAGTATGCTTAACAGACAGGTCATATTCAGATAATTATGATAGCTTCAATTAAAATCTAGTTAAATATAGTAAACAACGTGAATACGTGCAACATGATATGCTTTGAAAAAAAAAATTTATCAAACTCAAAATAATGTAATATTGATGAAGATTATTCTGTAGAGCTCGAATGGATATAGATTAAAATGTTATCAGAAAAAAAAGTAATATGCATGTACCGCAATATTTTAAAAAGTTAACATCGAACCATACGATGAATATAAAACAACAACAAAATATCCTTTCTTTAAAAAAGTAGTAAAATGGTTGAATCATATGCATTAAACCACATAGAACACATAGACAATGTTTAAAAAGTGAACATTGAGTTAACCATCCAAATAATAACTGTAATTCACAATATGTTAACTAACTTACATTGACAATTACCATATAACTGATTCTTATGTTCTGGTAAACACAGAGCAGCCTTCCCACGAATAATTGTGTCATTTTCTACTAATTCGAGAGGATAACCATTTGCTAACAAATCTTCCTCCGATAATAAATAAGATGTTAATTGACTATACAGAAGAGGTCCTATAAAAAAGAAAAGTTACTTTTTCAAACAAAAAGAACGTAAACATGATCAAAAACTACTCATGAATAAAGAAAAGAATTGTAAAGATATGGAAATTTATATGTGGAAAAAATATACACACAGTGCTTAATATTATTTACATTACCGTTGAGAAAACACTCATTCACCAAGTACTTGGGTAGGAATGACATTCTAAGTGTGAGCTAATAGTACTACTTAGTGGCCCAGTGTGAAGTAGGTGAGTTGGGGTTTAAACCTGGGATTTAGTTGCTGGTTCGAACCCCGACTCCACCTACAGTTTGGGCAAGCAGGTAATACCATTGGCCTTCACACTAAGTGACGCTCATACACGTTACTTGGTGAATGGGTTAGTTGTATTATTATTGTTATTATTATCGTCATTAGTATTACTATTATTACTAATAAAAAAGTAACTTTTATAGCATAAAAATCTTAATACAACAAAAAAACTGATTTAGAACTATAAAAAATGTGGTTGTACGTCTTCAATACGCATAGACCTTCCATGATGTCAGTAAACGTTCTAGATACATGAGTTTGTAGGTATCATTACCAAGGTTTGATTTGATAGTTTCGAATAAATTGTGCATTGGGTAGATTGTTATTTAATCTCTGAAGAAGTGACTTACACTAAGCCACGAAACGTCAGAAAATCTAATTTTTCTACTCATTGGGATATTACAAATATATTATTTATTTGTTCTAGATACATGTTTTTTAAGTACAGCCCAAGACCACTATACTGTTTGACAGATTAAAGGCCATCCTACATATACATAGCGATTGTTGTAAATACCCATTTTTAATCATTTATTACGCACATTTATTTGACAACAATGGTCACGTTTGTAACATTCTAAATGTACTGTACAAGTAACAAGTGGGAAATGCTGTCATCAGAGACAATAATATAGAAGGAACGTCAGTATTGATGAGTCAACTTAACTCAGGAACCAAGTGAAGGTTACACATCCCTCTAATGTATGTGGGCCTGACGTATGCAAATACATGAGGCAGGTTTCAAACCTGCATTTTGACCATATTTTTACGTAGTCCAATTCAAGTCAAACTGTGTAGTGGTTAGTAATAACACTTGGCTATATAAAATAAAGTACGTAGAACGACGTTTGGATCTACGATCCACTTTTAGAAATCCGAGTGCTTTAATCACCAAGCCAACGCTTTACTTCTGATGTGATAATCTATAGATCTGAATGATTATTAGTTCTATTATATGTCAGCTACAATTATCTAGATAGGCCTATGAACTTGCCTATAACATAAACATTTTTGAGAGCAAAATGTATTGATTTGCCAAGCAACCTAGATTAACTTAATATGGTGTTCAATTCATTTTTTGTCATTCAGTACCTAAGCTATAGATAAAGTATAAAACACCAACAGAATGTTTATGAATCACAATTATTACAGATCAAGTTTTGAATACGATAAATAATAAATAATAGATGATCAACTACTTTATTAGATCAAAGTGATCAATGATAAATGTGTAGGTGAGTTGTGCATTAAATCTCAGTTAAATGTACATTTAGAATGTAAACTATAAAAAAATTAATATTTTAGTAATTAAGCTCAAGTTTAGCTTAAATTGAAGAATAATCATTCGACAACTACTGATGAAATGTCCAATAATTATCGAAAGGGACAAGAAACAATACTAAAATACATAACTGACATTTTCTAAAGTCGAAATGAATCATAGGAACAGAATTAATAGGGAGTAAAGAATAAATTACCTTTAACTAAACGGTCAAGTTTTTCCTCAGCATCATCTTTCTTAGCATTATTATTTGAATCATAAGCAGACAAATGTGAACTAGTGATTGCAGGACGTGTAACTACCGTCAGGCTGGATGAAATTTTCGATTTTTCACCTAATTGTATCGACTTTTTTTCTGCTTTCAAACATTTTAGCCGTTGGATTACAGCATTTAAATATGCCATTCGACTACCTGCTTTGTCATGACAAGCTTGTTCATCTTCAAGAGCCTAAACAACATCAATAATAATAATAATAATATTGACATTTGATTTAAAATATACTGCGATGAGAACTATACAGCTGACCATCATGATAACTTTCTAAATTTTCTAGCTTACTAGCAAATTATACAAAATAAGAGCTATTTATTAAGATGTCCTGAGTTATTGACCAATAAATATTAGATATCAGGGTAACGAACATATAAGACGTATGTAGTGTATTCTACTTACGTCGACAGACATAAGTAGTACATAACACCACTCAGAAGATAAATGCTTGTCAAAAGAAGGTTGAGAAGATTGTACTGAAGAAAATAGAAAGGAATTGTGAACTGGAAGATTCATAAATGATGTACAGGACAACTGATGGAAGATTTGCACATGAAGCATTTAGTGTATGGTAGCCCCCAAATGACCTGGTATGGCCGAGAGTAGGATGGGCCCGCCCTCCCTCTCGAAATGCTCTCACACGGCCACGCGTATACAGCCTCTGCCAGGGAAGTCCTACTCACTGCCTTCTCGTGGCGGGGGTGTTGTTTACGAAAATGAGAGGACGAAAAGCGAATGTCCGTGGCTTCAACCGAATCCCAAATCAATGGTGCACATGGGCTCCAGTATCCTGAGGGAACAAATGGCGTATGAACCCATTTTTGGTCACCGGCTACCATGAGACTGCATCTCCTCATGATGCTCCACTGACTTGTGGGGCAGACCTTAAGGTCGCAGGTGAAATAACGGGGACCGTCTACTGCAACTGTGCACAGACCACAACCTGTTTCTGGCTAGCACTAACTTCCGGCACAGTCATCGCCAATGTGCCACCTGGCATCCTCCCTCTGCATCTCAAGCCTGGACTCAGATTGATCACATCGTGATCAGCTACCGCTGGCGTGGTTGTGTACAAGACTGCCGCTCTTTTTCGAGTACCTATCTGGACTCTGATCATGCCTTGGTCTGCGCCAATCTCACCTTACTTTTCAGTGGACAACGAAGTGACCGCCATCAAAGGATTGATGTCAGCAAGTTGGTTGCAACTTCTGTTGCAAGTAAGTATCGAACCGAGCTAGCTTCTAGGCTAGCTACCACTCCACCGAAAAGTATAGATGAGCATTGGTTGCAATTGCAAGAAGCCATGAAAATGGCGAGTAACGTTACTTGTGGGTTCGCGAAACGTCCCGCTTATAAGCACTGGGTTTCTTCTGGTTCCTTGCAACTCATTGAAGCCCGTCGGTCTACTCCGGGTGACCGTGAGTTTGACCACAAACGAAGGATGTTACGTAATGAAATTCGGCAAAGCTCGCGTGAGCACTGAGAAGCCTGGTGTTCGGAGCGTACTAATGAGCTGGAAGCAGCAGCTGCATCTGGTAACTACCGGAAGCTCTTCCAACTCATCCGAGCCACTGGCAGCAAGAAGTCTGGTGTGAGTGAAACAATCTGCGAGGATGATGGGATGCCAATCACTAACATCCATCGACGTCTTTGACGATGGGCAGAATTCTTCGAAGGGCAGTCCAACTGGCCTGTTGCTCTGGCAACATCGGTCAGACTGTCCTGCCCTCCATGGCCGGTGATGACTGATCCAGCAAAGGAGGCGGAAATCCGCAAGAGACTCCAACTCTTGAAGCGCTACAAATCACCGGGCCCAGATGACTTACCTCCGGCCCTTTTTTAAGATGATGATGACTTTCTGACTAAGGAATTGACGACGTTGTTTACAAAGTTCTGGGAAGTAGAGAGTGTACCAACGTCGTGGAATGAGTCGATAGCTGTCCCTATCTTTAAAAAGGGTTCACGTCCTTACTGTAACAACTATCGGGGTATAGGTCTACTTCCGATTGCGTCCAAGCTATTGGCTTCTGTCATACTTCGTAGGTTTTTCAAAACCAAAGAAAGATTGACTCGCGAGGAGCAGGCTGGTTTTCGTTTTGACATTAGGGCTGCCTTCGATTCGTTGGACAGGACTGTTCTCTGGGGTTGTCTATTGAATAAGGGTGTGCCTGGGAAGTTTATTAACATCCTGAAGGCCCTATATACAAACACCTCAGGCAGAGTGAGGGAATACAACCACCTCTCTCCATTGTTCCATTCAAGCAGTGGGGTTAGACAGGGTTGCCCAATCTCACCATTCCTCTTCAACTTGGCCATCGACGACATTCTGGAAACAGATCTGATGGATGTGAGCAATAGAGGTGTGGATCTGTTGCCTGGAGAAAGACTTCTTGACCTTGAGTATTCGCATGATATTGTCTTACTGTGCGATAATGCCCAAGCCATGCAATCCGCACTTAATCACTTGGCAATCAGTGTCCGTAGGTATGGTATGTGCTTGAGATGGTGCTTTGCACCTATGCCAATCTGGGCCATCTTTGGTGCATTTGTCATGTCAGTCTGGCTGTAAAGGGTCGGATCTACAACGCGTCGGTGAGAACAGTTTTGCTCTATGATTGGGAAACTTGACCTCTCCGAGTTGAGGATGTTAGACGACTCTGTGTGTTTGATCATCGCTGTCTCCGAAGGATTGCTGACATTCAGTGGCAACACCATGTTAGTAATGCAGAGGTTCGGCATCGTGTGTTCGGGCACAGAGATGATAATTCAATTGGTGTCACCATCTTGAAACATCGACTTCGGTGACTTGGACATGTTCTCCGAATGTCGTCTCAGAGAATTCCACGTCGTGCATTATTTGCCGACTCTGGGACTGGTTGGAAGAAGCGGAGAGGTGGTCAGTATATGACGTGGTGTCGTGGTATGAAAGAAAGCTGCAAAGGGCTAGTTTCTGTTGGTCCTCGACTCCCTGGCTGGGTTCTGAGAGATGGTGCAACATGGTGTCTAGAGTCGTTATCAGATATGGCTCAGAATATAAGCTAGTGGCGATCCTGCTGTAAGCTTCTTTTACTTTTTTTTTATAAAGTGGTTGTATCTTCCTTAACTGATAGATTTCTTCTGATTGTATCTTTCCTTCTCCCCCATTATTACCATTCTTCTTCTTCTTGTTATTATTATTATTAAACCACCTTACACTAATCTATTCGTTATTGTTCTTTTTTTCTCTTCGAATTCTCATTGTTTTGTGTGTCGCATATATATTTGGTGCCCTCTTGTACCAATATTTATGTGTTCAAATAAATAAAGTATGGTTTTCTTATTTTAAGAAAGAACTCTGTAATTTTGCAGTAAACAATAAATTAGTTGTCCCCAACTGAGTTCTCGTTCACTACACGTACATTGAAGACTGATGCTGTATACAGTTAAATTAAAATGTTGCTGTATTATGGAAGTTAAAGTTTAAATGATTAAATTAAATTTGTCAATGTACCTAACTTATCTACCACATAAACAAATCCTTCAGCATAAACTTTAATTTTGAAAACTAATAATCCATGTATTAATTAATAAGAGTTAGTGAAAACCTTGAAAAATAAATTAAACATGATTTTTTGAGTTTTATGACAAATTACAATCAATGTAGCATCAAAAGTAAATAAGATACTTACGAGGGACAAAACACCTCAAATGAGATAGCATTACATTATACTAACTGGCACTGTATTGAACGAACACTTAAGTGGGGAAACCAATTTATTGTTTAATGCACAGTTACAGAGTGCTTACGTAAAATATGAAAACGATACATTAAATACATAATTTGCACATCTTCTATTAGTTGTCCCTTACATGCTTCATGATTCTTACAGTTCTGTTGTTATTACAATTACTTTCTGTTTTCTTCAATTGAATCTACTCGATCTTCTGCTGATATACATTCCACTTCCGATTGATGCTACATGCTACTTATATCTGTCAACATAAGTAACATACACCACACTACTATCGTTACTCAGTCGAAGTCGAAATAACAATCATATTTTTTAATCATCCACAAATAAATACATTTAGGGTATACCGTATTGTATGTTTATGAAGGATATATGCACAAAATCCCATTTGAATATTTACTAGGCTTGTTCACCGATTCAAAATAATAATAAGAATAGTAATATTGGTTTTATTCAATGTTATATATTTGATACAATATCAAATTCTCAGCAAAGTAAAGAGATGGTTGAAGAACTTTTTAATTTATAAAAAACTATGCATTTGAGCTAGCTTGATGACTAGTTTTAAGCACGCTGGGGTTCCATAGCAAGGTGACACATATGACCAGAGTATTCGTGATGACTCTAGTAAAACAATAGCTTACTGTGATAATTTAAACTCGATTTCATAAACAATGAAGCACATAAGTATAAGAAAAGAGAATAACAGAAGTAAAATAAAGAGTAAAGAGCGTGTGTATATTCAGTAGGTTTGTAATTAGTCATCAATATTTAAATTGACATTTACTTGTAAGCTATCAATTATTTGATGGTTGTTGCAAAAGAAAAGGCATAGGTTGATGTATAATGACGATTAAATTTTGTAATCTGATACAAATATAAAATCATATAGTCAAATATCACTAATGTTACAACTCAGAGAGTAAAAGGTTAAGAATTTAATCAAAAAGTGTAATGATGTCTAAGGGAAAGTCTATCTATCCAATCTTAGGACATTATAGTACACACAGGTAAGCAAACTAAATAAAACAATGAAAATATATCTGAGTAACCATAATAATACAGGTATTACAACTAAGGGTAATTATCAGGGCATAACAGTCAAATCGGAGGATATAACTAACAGCAGTACGTTAAATGATCAAACTTAAAGAATATTGCATAACTCAAGAAAATCTAATGAAAATGTAAACCTGTTAGAAACAAACAATCGTACGCAGTTTTTAAGGCAAGTTAAACCTACACGCTTGTATGCATCAGAGGGATGGTCATATATTAAAAGGCACTCTTCAATAAATTGGTCCAAATAGCGAGTTCTAATTGGCATGGGAATTTTGTCACTTTTGCGTAGTGGAATACGAGGTCTTGTAACATATTCATGTTGTACATTTCCTGAAGCAATAACCTAACGTTTGAAGACAATTCGGTAGAAAACATAAACGCATAAAACGTTAGACAGTATATAAAACATGGGGTCAAATGAGTTCGTTTTCAGTTGAAAATATGATTCTTTACTAATGTTTGAACATCTACGTTAGCTTAAAAAAGCCCATTTATAGACAATCATAAACTACTCTAATAACAACAGTCCACAATAATGTACATGATTATTTACTAAAGTATAAGTTTGTTGTGTAAAGATTAAAGACACTTGAGTCACTGAATTTATAGTATTCGGAGCAACATTAGAATTTGAAGGTCCCATGACTGAAAAGAGTGCCCACACCATTGAGCCATAGTTATGTAAATCGACACGATAACCGCGTTAAATTGTCCCCAATAACCATCTAATAGTTAACATAGTCTTCACACTACTCTGGCTATTTATATAGGGACTTTCTGTTTCGAAAACAAACTATACTAGATTTCTAAGGTAGCAAAGTAAATTCAACAGATAAAAACTTCAATTAAATTTATTTTCACGGTAAATTAGTGGTTAATAATCAATTATTGGGTAGTAGATCTGGACCACATTTTTATCTAACTCAGTTTGGACAACCACGTAACATCACTAGCCCGTACATAGTGTGGCTTGAAATTAAGTAATGCGCGAATCTGTATTTAGTAAACGAATTATAATTAACATAGTTTGATTATCACAAAAATATATTCAGAAGTAAACGACTCTAGAAATGTTGGGAATTTGTTAACCAACATGATATCAATGTACTTAACACAGACTAAGTATTTATAGATCATTTACGTGATCTGTGGTAACCAATATTTTATAGCTTTTCCGGAAATTCCACCTGAAGTTACACGATATTTATAACTGGAATCACGTTTATTGTAAACAAACCCTTCCAGAAATATTCAACCTGAACCTATTATATCTTAGCACCTGTAGTTCACTCGCATCTTCAGTAGTCGGGAAAAATCATTAGCCACTTGTTACAGTGAAGAAAGTGACTAGTGACATCTAGTAAGTGTAAAAAAGGTTGGCCTAATAATTTCAGCATCAAAAACCGTGAAAATTCAACTATATGGATGGTGGCTAGCAGTAGAATCCAGGACGCGCGTTTCTTCCTATTTTTAAATCGTTAGCTGGATGTACCTGGATCTCAGAGTCGATGCTCACGTTGGGACTCGAATCCAATAAATTTCACCTCAAATACCATCTCATCATCCACTTGGCTATAGAGTCCAGGTAGCCATTGGCTTGTGCGAAAAACATTGTTTTACCTGTCGGTAAAAAAGAGTACGTATTAACCGTTGTCACAGAAGCTCGTAGTTTGAGCAAATAGTAGCAAAATATTAAGACGATCTAACTTAGATAATACTGCATTAGTTAATTTCCAGAAATCATAAGTGCTGAAAAAGCCATTACAATAAACAGCATATAAACGGATTTCTAGACAAATACTTTAGACTTACATTATCGCTCTTCTTATCTATACTTGCCGTCTCAGGCTTTTTAAAAACTGGACTCATGTACGGTGGAATAAGCGTAGCAGACTTTGAAGCATTCTTGGGAAGACTGTTTTTATCTACCGAGCTATCGTTATCAATATCACCGTATAAGTCTTGATAAAGAGATAAGATTTTTTGACGTTTAGAAAGTGTGCAATTGCTGTCATCTTCATTATCCTTGTCTGTACTATCCACAGACTTTTCGTCACTAGTCTTTGTGACATTTAGTTCATTGGGAATGGTTATTTCTTTGTTTTTGAAAACCTTCACTTTACGCTTTGATTTTTCACTATGTTTAGGTGATCCATGAGTTTTCGGCTTATCATTTCGTGAATTTTGGACACCTTTAGCCACAGATACAGTTCGTAAGTCACCAGGATTATCCTGAGCAACAGTCGGAGAAGGAGTATCCTCATCCGAGTCTACGTTAATGTTAATAACTTCTTTAGCATAAGAAGAGGCAGATGATTCTGTAACCGAAGGAGAAGGCTGATATAAAAATGGAGAAGGCGAAGGTATTGCTTTTATCTTGACCACAGGAGAATATGATGGTTGATCTTGTGGTATAAATCCCTTAGAAAATCCATAATCAGACAAGGAATTAGGCGCATATTTTTCCAATTCACTTATTGGAGTTGGTTGATAAACAGGAATGGGTTCTTCATAAACACTTTGCACACAAGTGGCATTCTTATTACATTCAATATCAAGGTAGTTTTGTGAATTTTCAGTACGTTTTTCCAAAACACTGATAGGGGTCGGTTTATATACAGGATCAACAGAGGGCTTACATGATTTCTAACACATTAAATTTTAGATAACAAACTAATTACCGTTATAGATAGTATGTTTTCCTCAGGAACACCTGTAAAGAAGAAAAAAGCATAAACCAAGTAATTATTACGAAAAATAATAATCAGAATATTTAAAAATGAACGATAAATCTTATTGACTTGCCCTTGGTCCAAACTCCATGTCACTGGATAAATCCCACCATATATCAAATAAAACTAGGTTGGGAATAATTAACAGCTTTCCCTTGATTGTTCTGTCACAACAAATATGCATGATACTGTGTCAGACACTTCACTAAGCTCTTTTTAATACCACAGAGGTCAAGAATTTTAAAATGGGTATACAGGTTAACTAATGTACGTTTTATTTGCACACTTCTTTTTAGTGGTTTACCTAATCTCCTTGTTCATAAATTGCCTAAAAATGAGACTATTATTTTTTCATATGAAGTAAACGTCATAAATAAGTGGATGTTTTCAAATCCTATTCTACTCTACCTTATTATTAAGGGCAGTGAAGTCATCTGTATGGAGAGAGTAAAGCATAAGCTGCTTAATCTCGTCGGTCGGTGGACCTTTTTTTCAGTTTCGCTAAACGTATGCGGTAAAGACACGAATTAATACTGACCTAACTTTCCATACCTAATTAGCACGATCAGATGAAAACAACTAAAGAGATCGAAATAATTCAGTTGCAATAATGATGAGAAAGACTAAACATTGAGGATATGGTTCGAAAAGGCAGTATGTAAAAGTGCATACAAATGAATACTGGGATTCAAGATCGAGAGGAAGATTAAGAGGGAATACATTTGAACCATTCTGAACAATCCCAAGCCATGTCATACAAAGCTCCCGACTACTGATCGCAGTTACCGCACAAAACACAATCAGATAGCCTGCATCCACCAAAATGTCCCAGACCAACAGTCCACTACTTCATGGACTGATGCCACGTCTTGATTTGCCCTAACCCCTAGCTTTCTTTCAACCTACTCCTAGACCAGACGTCCCGTGCCGAGGTAGGTGGTGGATGGGGATACCTAACATGTGTTTCCATTATCTCAATCGGTGAGTGTTTACAATCTCATCAACTGAATTACCATCTTCATCTTGTACTCTATACCTAACTTCAGCATTGGTCAGTCAGTCGTCCAACGAAACGCGTGAAATGTTTTGAAGACAGTCAGGATCGAAAATCTTCAGCCTACGCATCCCTTCTACTTTCATAAACCATGTTCACGCCCTAAAGTAGTAAAGAGTGAACTGCTGTTCAATGTACACGCCCTTTGGTTTGGTGACGGATATTTCGCCTACGCCACAAGCGACGCAAATTGGCAAACGCTAACTGGGTTTTCTGAACTCGTGTACCAATCCGCCAAAATTGATGGAAGTTCCAAGATAAGTAAAGCAAGCTTAGTGATCATTCCATCGCAATACCCATTTGTTTGTAAGATTTTCTGAGTTGAGAATATATTCATTGTACAACTAACGCTTAACTCGTTAATGCGGAAACAGGACGTATGGTTTTCATATTTCTTTCAACAAGTTCATTCCACATAAAATCCTGTCCCTGGTGGGAAAAGCTTAGTGAGTAAATAAATGAGTTATTAAGAAACTAGTATTCCCAAAGAATAATTTATCCCGTGGTAATCATCATTTAAGAGCAGTTTCACTCTATGCTTGTGATACCTGACCTCTCCAAATTGAGGATGTTAGACGAATCTCTGTTTGATCATCGTTATCTCTGAATGATCGCTGACACCCAGAAGCAACACCATGTTAGTAATGCAGAGGTTCGGCATCGTGTGTTCGGACAGAGAGACTATGTTTCAATTAGTGCCACCATCTTGAAATATCGAGTTCAGTGGCTTGGACATGTCCTACGAATGTCGTCTCAGAGAATTCCGCATCGTGCATTACTTTCCAACACTGGGACAGGTTGGAAAAACCGTAGAGGTGGTGTCGTGGTATAAAAGAAAGCTGAAAAGGACTGGCTTGTGTCGGTCCTTCACGACTCCCTGGTTGGGGTCCGAGAGATGGTGCAACACAGTGGATATATATGTTATCAAATATGGTTCAGAATAGAAGCCAGTGGCGATTCTGCTGTAACCTTTTACTTTCTTCATAAAAAGTGAACATAACTTCTTTAGCTGAACTGCTTCTCCCATTATTATTTCACTATCGTACACTAATTTCTGTTCGTTATTGTTCTCCTTTTTCTCATACGCATTTTATATTCTTTATCTCTTTTCATTATCATTGTTACTGTGTGGTGCATATGGATATTTGGTTTCCCCTTTGTACCAATGTTTGTGTTCAGATAAAATAAAAGTATTCCTAGAAACATATTTATCTATTTAAGCCGCTACATTCTCCAAAACTAAAACACCAAAAGACGTAAAATAGGATATCACGGAAGAATAACTTATAGTTTTTGAGGACAATAAGGCTAAGTTTAGTTGCAAACAGCATTTGAAACCACTAACTAACTTTCAAATATATGTACATACTGTTCAAATTTTGTTTGCACTTCACTCATAATTTCATTCCTGAGACTAACAGCTTAACCTGACCTTGGACGAATAATACAGTTAAGTACAAGTCATAAACCCGTGAAGTACGTAAGTAGACAGCTGTTCACTGTTTGATTATATAACTTGATTGCTTAGTTAAAAATATGCAACCTGACAGTTCTGCTGTACCAAATAATTTAACCAAACAAGTAACCGCAAAGAATACAAAATAATTTACCTCCAGTACATTAATACCAGGTACATAACATGATAATGGAGTGTACAATCACTACACCATAATTCACTTATTTCCTTAAGTAAGTGAAATACTAAACATCCCAACCATTTGTGAATCTCTAGTAGTGAAACATAGATCATAAATAAAGCATTGTGAAGTGTCAACCAGATTAATTTAGTCCGATAGAGCTGAATTTCAAAATTATCGAACAAAAGATATCCGATAGCTGCTTGTGTTTGATTATCGTGATTTCCGATAGATTACTGATGTTCGATAATAACGCAAAAACCAGCAATATTTTGTATATGTCCATGATAAGGATTTAATAAATACATATTTCACGTGTCCTAAATACTCCCACGCTGCATATTACTTTTTGGCACTAACCGAATGTTAAAAATAAAGGTATAGATGGTTTACAATATGACGATATATAACAAAGAATGGTTCCATTGACTTAATAGCCCTTGCTTCATTACAACTGAATGGACGGAGTCCTGAAAGTCACGGGACCCTGACATGAAAAATAATGTTTCTAGATACGCGTGCTCGGTTTTGAGCATAACTGTTAATGTGAGAACTGATACCACTCGACTGTATAGGACAAAACACGTGGGGTGAGATGCAAAGCCTTAATTTATCGGTTGAGAGCTACGAGTTCTCACCATTGTCATCTTTACCATAATTGGACATGTTTGAAAACAAAAAAATGGCACCAATCTGCTGCAGTTTTTATTTTATTGCTTATTAACATTAAGATGTCTCTTAGGGACAAGTAAAATTTACCTGGGTCGTGATTATTTTATTTAATACATGCTATCCCAATTTTAGCACATAGTTTTCCGTCCCGAACTTCTCTCCAACTATTTCATACTTTGTATTGTATACATTAGTGCCTCGACGTATAAATAAATTTATAATTATAAAACATCGTTCCGGTGATTAAGGGTGCCTCTTAGTATTCAATGCTGCAGAAATTTGTTAAATCTATATGGCTACACTTCTAAGAGACATTTGGTCAAAAGTAATTTGATTAAGGCTATATTCATAAGTCTACAACTACCTCGCCTAAAAGTTGTTTAGGTTAGTTGAGACTCGACAGTACCAAATAAGTCCATGCATGAATTCTTGAATTAAATATATTAGCTGTGGTCCCAATGTCTTACAGTCCATGATAGCAAGCTAATGAGTCATAACAAAGATAGAAACAAGTTCACCGAACATGTGGCAACGTGTCTGAAAGAAATAGTTCCAGCAAACCAGATTTTGACCAAAAAACGGACCGTCAATTGTCTCTAAAAATAACCAGTTTGATTTCCCAACAACCAAAACTTACTTTTCCAGCAAGCTGTAAAACGAAAATCGCACTGCATAGTTAACATGATGTTCAGCTTGTCTGGTCCCCAAAGCTGATTGTCTCCCTGGATATAAAATGTCCTACGTAGTATACACTACTACTAGTGTATATACACTAGATAAGGATAGCAATTCGACCGATGAGGCCGTTGGTCTCCAACAACTGAAGTAGCTCGGACAGTTAGTATGAACAACTAACAACTCCCAACCCGTTTGTTTTCCTTATATCCTCATTATCTACCTCACCCCTCTTTACTTGTTAGCCCTGTTAATTTGGCGAGTACTCGTCAAATATGGGCACTACGTAGTGTCCATATACGTGCAACTAAGTCGGATCATGCAAGAACGCTTGCGACTAAATTTTCGTGGCTTTGATATTATCCAAAATTACACATAAATTACATATAAACAAAATATTAGAATCTGTATACAGATTGGGTACTGTAATAACTTTTAAGGAGATTACTGACTTTGCCCATCAAAATGATTGAAATGGCAATATGGTCTATCGCAGTTCCCTTCACTGAAGGCTGGGCACAGCAACTCCTGAAAAAAACCTGAGGTTGGGAACATTTGTGTGAAACACCAAACACCGAAACAAATCAGTAGCCCAACAATCTGTATTTCCGCCTTTTCAAATGGTTCAAATTGTTGTGGACGGAACAGAAGCTTTCGCTTAACAGGCTTCCGTGTCTAGTTGCAGGGGATCACGCGTACCTCCAGGCAGGAACCTAGGTATGTTAACGATAAAAGAGGAAAAAGAAACTGGTAAATCATAGTATGATACTATCCTTATACCTTAAGAATAGATCAAGTTGCCTCTTAAAGGACTCCTAGGAAGTCGCTTTGGCTAGTTCGGCTAGCATTTGACAACTCTTAAGGAGTAGAAGTTATGTCTACTGTCCGTTCTTCTATGTTGTATCTCCAATTTCTGGGTGTCACCCCTTAGGTTTGTATTGGGACTAAGCTTGAGTAGGTGTTTAAGAGGATGTCCAGAATTGTTATGGATACTGTAAGCCATTAGAAGGTCTTCTCTAAGACGCCTATACTCTAATGGGTAAAGGTTAGTTGATTGGAGGCCCTCCTCATAAGGTTTAAATTTGAGTCCTCGAACTGATTTCGTGGCTCGCCGCCGGATACGCTCCAGTGTCCTGATCCTTTTGGATTGAGGGAAGAAATACTTAAGATGAGTATCTACCTCTGAAGCAAATCGTTAATTCTGTCAATTTTTTAGTGCATTCGGGTGAATACATGTAAAGCTGTTTGATAGGATTCAGAGTAAAACTTGATATTAGTACAAACCGTTGTGCAATAATATTTAAGAATGATGCTATGAAAGTCACAATTAGTTCCAAAGTGTAATCAAACAGATGGATGACGGACCTTGTTCGTATAAATCATTATTAAAAGTTGATATTCAATAAATGACACAATCCACGTTCGGAATAAAAATCATCAAGAGAACTTCTGAACCGGGTTTTACTTTCACTGCAACGGAGGTCCACTGGCAGTCTGTTCCACATGGTTGAGTAGCTAATAACGAAGAAATTCTGGCGTAAGTTTTTGTAGGTGCTCGTAATCGCTAGAGTATTTTCCTTATTGCGTATGTCGTGAGATGGTGTCATAAAGTAGGAAGGGGTAGATACCGATTAGCAAGAAGTACCGTTAATAAGCTGGTAGGTAAAGACAATGTTTTTATTTGATATGCCTGATGCAGAGAGGTTATAATTTGAGTTATTGACATCTTTGGTGATAACCCTTGTTGTCGGAACACCACAAAACAGCTTCAGTGAACCTTCTTTGAACACCTTCAATTTTAATCAGGTCATTATGCCCGCGATTACTATAAGCTGAAATACCGTATTCAAGAATGAGTAAGATAAACTCTTCAACGCTCTTTATCATAAACATAACAAAATCAACGATGACGTCATTCAAGATTAACGGTTTAATCCCACGCATTTGGAAGGAGACCCTAGTAGTGTTGATTTTTCGCCTGAACGCTCAAATCAAAAACGAACACTACTTTTTCTAATATGCTCATGAATATGCGCGTATTATTTATTTTCTAAAAAAACAATCATTGTGCGAATATTGTTATTACGCTATCCCATGTGAATAAAACACATATATGCCAGTTAATTTTCCTGACGCACGTGTTAATGTATTTCAACATGCACCTACAATATCCTAATTCTCCTCCTGGACGGCTGGAAAGAATGGAAAATTTGACAAAAATACTAGTAATAAAAAATTTTAATACACATTTCCCTATTGCTATACTGTACAACATGGCCCCTTATATCGGGGAAAGACGACCAGAAGTTGCATAACATATAAAGCCATCAGGACAGTGTTTACCAACAAAAAGCTCATTGGGTTCAGACTTTAGCAGGCCACGTTTTTGGGTCGTCACTACCACTATAGGGAAAGAGTGAGGTGAAATGGTAAACAACCCCCAAAGTCAGTAGCTCTGTAAGTCTTCAAATTTGGTGCTGACCTCATTAATTTTACCGGACACACCTAACTAAAGAGGTCCGGTCACACATCCATAGGTACAATGTGCTACGCATACTTTGAAACCGTTAGGCAACTAACACAAAATGCTCCTCCATATATCATTGGCCTTCTAAATAAGTAATTTCTGACTTCTGATTTGAATGGGTTGGTATCTTTCGATTATAAAGGTGTTACGTGAAAATTTTTTGTCAATCTTTGATTACCCGTGGCATCTTTATGGCTATGCAAGTGTCAAAGGCGAAACAACGTCCAACTGTAGACCAAATTCATTGTATATCAAGCTAAAAAATGACTCATGCCAAAAAACAGACCCCACTCAGTCCTTTACAAAGTTCCAAATCTTAAACAGAAGAGGTATAGAAAAACAGGAAGGATGTGGTCCTGGTGTATCATTGCGGTGTTTGAATGGACTAATGATACATTTGTACTTGTTGAATGCTTGATTTCGAATTCCAAATACAATACATTCGTTTGTGCTTGTGTCTCACTTCTTAATTCAATTGCATTATTTCTGGGACTCTGAGTTCGTGCTATAATTCAAATAATTCAAAACATTATAATCATGTCGCCTATAATTCCCTGAAACTTAACACATTACTAGCTAATTGGCGGGACATGAAGACACGACGGATACGTTCTTCAGATTCCTGAAGGCGGTTAGCATTAATCTTCGTTCACGATCGTATGCACGATGAATAAATGGCTTATTCTACCTTCAGCTTTGGGGCCAACGTAACGTAAAACATACCTTTCCGCCATTAAAAAAGCTCTCCTACCTCTTGAAGGTTAATGGCAACAAGCAAATATTTTAAAAACCTAACAAACATAATCTGGAGTCTGAATGTAGTTAAGATCTGAAAGGCGTTACAGTATAATGTACTGCATCCGTTTTGCACCCCTAATTTGAAGTAGTTTTCTCTCGGTTTAATAATATTCTTTATCATTGTCATTTTGGACTGAACAGCTTGTTTTGCTTAACCTAAAACTGAAGCAGATGAATAATTGTATCGTGAATATAACGCTATTATTTTCACAAAAGAGAAAAACAGTAATCTACTTGGTGCCATAAATCTCTACTCATACAAAAACGCTCATGGTTGTTCAAATCACACGGCTCATACTTTGATAAGGTACTAAGAGTGCCAAGTCAAGACTCGAAGTAATAAAGATCAACACATAAAAGTTTGCTGATATACGTTACTATACAGAAGTATTACAACCGAGGATTTCTAGATTGTCGGCAATTCAAGAAATCATCGGTCGGTATCCCAAAATGTTTGTTTTTCTGATCTGCATGAACGTGGAAGAAATTTTACTTATTCATTTATTAACATTTCATTCTGATACCCCAATGAGAACTAGTTGTTGTAGTAATTTTAAATCTTCACCAATATTCATTCTACTTGAGCAGTTACTTATTTTTATTATCATCTTCTTGGTCTTGTAGCTTTTTATTACCTGTCTGATTATTATGGTCAAACGGAAATGCTACTGAAGGGATGCACATGCTCTATACTTATCCATTCTACTGACAAATAACGTTAATACAGCGTATGTAGTAAGGCTAGCATACAATTTATGTTTACGAGACGTTCATTTTAGACATACTAAGATCAAATGACAGAGGAGAATATAAGATGCAGAGAGTACAAACGATTACAACTCGGTAGTAAAACGATTCCTAATAATGACTCGGTCTTTTTGATTATGAAAGGACTGAAGATGCCACAGGTATTTAAAGTTTGATAACGGTTTAACCAGCAACACCTTCCAATGTGAATCGTACTCACCAAGAGAAATCAAAAGACAGAAGCGAGGAGGTTCGAATATATATATTTTATAAGCTATCAATATATCGAGGATCGACTGATCTAGACTGGCTAGCGATTGAAGGGGATGTTGATCACGGCATTCTCACTCGTGATCTGGTGAGGTTGCATGACTGAGCGCCTTCAGCTAGATGAGTACACTAAAACATGTGGTCAGCATCCAATGTCGAAAACGTACAGAGCTATTTATTTTGGGGATATATTTACCGCTACATACCTCTCCCTCCTAGTGGGGTAACGTTGACGCTAAGGCGTGGCCAGCTAGAAGTTTAAACTCAACGACTCTGTCGTTAGTAAACACTCTTCTGATAGCTTGCTATGTTTAGCAGCATCTGGTCGTCTTTCCATACCATAAGGGACCATTTAGTTCAATATAGTAATAAAGAAACAAGGTACAATCAAAGTTTTGGTTCCTCGTAGACTTCGTAGTTCTATTTCCGTCTTTTCCAGCCGTCTTGGAAAAGAAAAAAGAATATGTAAGTGCATGTCGAAATACACTCATACGCGCGTAAAGGTACAAAGTAGGCGAAAAAAATAAAATAAACTCATACAGAACGATTTTTTGTTTTTTCTGAAATAAAAATAAAAATATATAAGCATATTAAAAATTTTTTTTAAAAATATTATATATAATACAAAGAAAAATCGAGATGATATAAGATGTCAACTAGTATCATACATGCAATAATCGTATAAATGTTCTGAAAATCTTGCTCTTCTTCCAGAAATCGTTGTCTTAAGTTTATTTCCTGCTACTGCCGAAGTATCATCGTGCGTATTGGCTATCGAATGAGGTATTATATGAATAGGAGCCGTGTCGTTCGATTGTACCGAAGGAACATCGACGTGAATAGGATTTCCTTCTAAATGCGCTCGATGCTGATGCTATCGTTTGTTCCATCCTTATCGATTATATAGTACTAAGGTTCGCACTGAAGAACTTTGAAGGGTCCTTCATATGCTATTTTGAGAGGTCATCAAAGTGATTTGCGACGTACCAAGACGTGTGTACTGTGTCATAAGGCAGGTTGAACAGAAACATCAGTTGACCGTGATCGAGTGGAAACAAGTTTAACTGAACGTATTGCGTTTGTAAGCATGCTCGTGTAGGAGGTTAGATCCATGTTCGTTGAAGAAAATGAAGAATCCACGAATTCTCCTGAAAATCGAAGTGTCGTTCCATTAACCAGTTGAGCTACAGTGTATTCAGTGTCAGCTTTCACTGCATTGCGAATACCTAGTAAGACCAGTGGAAGATCGTCGGTCCACTGTGAAACGTTTG